AATACAAAATAATAATAATAATAATAGTCTCATATATTATGGTCGCTTTTAAGCACAAAGGTGGCTATCCCGAAAAATTCTGTTTTGAGAAAATCGAAGGTAAAGTGTTTAAGACCCTTGTTCGGTTTCATTAAAAGACAAGGAGAGTTTTCTCTATAATCAAACAAACATACTCACCAATGAAACCAAACTTCTCCTATACGTAGGGCAATGTCCACTTTTGTTGTAGGTCTAGATTTCTGGAAACCCCCGAAATCGGGGTTAGCTCGCTTGTCCTTGAACAACCTCAACTTCCTGGGAAGCGTACAGTGCAAACGGCCATTTATAGGCGCTAAAACACTAACATGCTGACAAGATCTTTCGCTGCCTACGGTTGGGCACTCATTCCCACCTGGATGAAGTGAGGAAAATTCTTGCAAAGTGCCTTTTCCAAAGACACAACGTCGGGCCTGCGGGTCGAACCCCCCGAAGCCGCAACCTCACGATTACGAGTCCGGTAGCCTAACCACTAGGCCACCGATGCCACAAGATAGACAGACAGATAGACAGACAGACTGGCAGAGACAAAAATAATCTGATAGATGTTTACACAATACATAATATACGATAAATTGTGTGATTTTATGACAGTCTACTGGATGATAAGACCCAATATAGAGGCGTGCACAAGCATTGGAAATCATGTGTTTGGATTTAAAAATAAGTATAACAACTAGAAAAACAAGTCTTGGTTGAAGCAAATTGCAGAAGACAGCTTATGCCGAATATACAAATACGACAGGCCAATTTCATTGGACATACAATGCGGAAAGAAGCAATGGAGAATATTGTAACAACAGGCAATTTTGATAGAAAAAGAGGCAGAGGCAGACAGAGGGAAAAGATACTGGACAAGCTGATAACAAGCCTGGGAGCAGCAAGAACAACAGACATCATTGCTACAACGCAAGACAGGGTGACGTGGAGATCCATGATCGCCCACGCCAGTCGTCAAGGCACCGGATGATGATGATTACATGACAGCACAAGGTGTGTATCTATCTTAATAAATGAGCTTCAAACAAGAGGGTAATAAAGTCCTTGATTAAAAACTAAACAGAACCAGAGTACTAGAGCAAAGAAACGAACAGCACCAGTGAAATGGCACAAGAAATCAGTTTTTACAAGGGGATCTAGTCTATCATCTCTTAAAATTTCAAGCGTAGGTTGGATATTTTTACGCCCCTATTAACACAAACTTGCACATTTAGGAGACGGGCTTCTGACCTTGTCTCTCAGAGCCAACCCAGGCTGAGATGAGTAAATCCCAGTATAGAGAACAAGATATTCAATAAAAATTTGCTATCCACTCGGGAATCGAACCCCGGACTCCTGCGAGCGACAGTGATGCGTCTAACCACTACAACACAGGTGCTGGTATATCAACTCTGATGAGACCTCTTGGCGCCTTATTTGAATACAAAAGGAAGGGTCATCAAATGACGGTGTCTATATATACTAGCGAGCAAAAGAAACGCAAAATCCTGTTTACCTTTGCAATGGTGATCATGTTCGTTTTCCATTATCAACAAAACGGAGAAATTCAAACACAAACTGTTTTCTGGCATTATGAAAGAATACGTGGGACATCACTGCGAATATTACATTTTCGCAGAATATATTTCCAATTTCCTGTTAATGCATCAACATGCTCGGTAGTGATTTCGGCTACAATTAGATCGGGTAATCGTAGCAGATCTCCAGTTCAAGGAAGCCATTTGGTTGTTAGTAAAACGTAGCGGGATCTGCCTACACATGTCCAGGATGGCCACATCCAGTTCCTGCGGCCTTGGTTATCTCCCCTCGGTGCGTCTTTTAATGTCGTCCTAAAAATGGGTTTAAATCCATGCTAAGGGCAAGGTGAGGCTGCAAAGTGATGCCACGGTGTTGGAGGAAATCCTGTGTAACACGGAAAGTGTGCGCACAAGCAATATCTGGCTGGAACCGGAAGTTAAAATTTTGACTGTGTAGAGGGGCTAAAAACGTCTGCTATGCAACGGGCAGCATTGATACCTTGACATCGACCTTGGCCTTGATTTTGGAAGGTCATTGGTCCTACTCTGTGGCTCCACATAATTCCACCCTA